CTATCATATCTCTCTCTCTCTCTCTCTCTCTCTCTCTCCCTCCCTCCCTCTCTCTCTCTCTCTCTCTCTCTCCCCTAATCTTATCGGGGCACCTTCCCTCTTGTGAGCAGAGGCGATCGGAAGAGACTACTGGAAGCCCGTGCAACGTGCCCTCGGTGTTCTGCTCTCTGCCACAGTCCAAGGCCAGGTCTAAGGCTTCCTATCCCAGCAAAGAACTCAGCTCCGTGTGGCCTTAGCGCTAATGGCCTCACATTCTCTCAGAACCACAGGAGCACAACTGGCCACCCGGCCAGTGCCAGCCTCATGCCAGCTGTCAGCACGTCCACGTGGCCTCACAGATCCTCGGTCACCCTCAGGTCTCTGTCTTTCTCCACAGCCCTGAGATCGGCTACAAAGAAGCACAGCTTCTGAGAGCGGCTGCAGTCAAAGGGGCTGCTGCACCGCTCCGGGTCCTCAAAGCGGGAGCTGTGCGCACACGAGTGCACTTTTTCTAGGAAAAGGCTCTGTGACTTGCATCTGACTCACAAAGGCCGGGGCCTGGAGATGGGTTTAATTTCTCCCCAGGCTGGGGCACTGGGCAGTGAAGGCCGATGTAACAGGAAGTAGCTGGGGGCTTCAGATGTTAACCTGCACTGGGCCCAGCCCCTCCAGCGTGAGGCTGCCTAATTCCAGAAGCTCATGTCCTCATTTCCTTCCCGACATGTCCCTTCCCTCCCCAAGTCTGGCGGCAGAGCTCCACTAGCAGAAAAGATTTCAGACCCTTCATTTTGGTTTATAAATCCCACCTCTTTATCCCTCAAGTCAGCACATACTTATTGGAAATCTGCTTCGTGTCATGACAGACACTGTCCTGGGTGTAAGATCCCTGTCCTCGTGGGTGGACACACTACGGGGAAGGACAGTCTGGTAAAGATAAGAATAAAAATAAACACCTGTCGGAAGGTATAGGCGCATGGTAGGAAACAGTGCTGGTTGGGGAGGCACCACTTGAGAGAGATGGATGAGAGACGGAAGTACGCTCTCTAGAACCGTGGTCGGCAAACTGTGGCTCAAGAGCCACATGCGGCTCTTTCGCCCCTTCAGTGTGGCTCTCCCACAAAATACCATGGCTTGGGCGAGTCTATTTTGAAGAAGTGGCATTAGAAGAAGTTTAAGTTTAAAAAATTTGGTTCTCAAAAGAAATTTTGAATCGTTGTACTGTTGATATTTGGCTCTGTTGACTAATGAGTTTGCTGACCACTGGACTAGAATGTTTTAAGGAAATAAAGTGTGAACTTTAAGAGGATAAAAATTAAAGGTGGCTTTCTTGATAAATGAGTATCTTTATATCACTGGTACATTCAGGAATAGTTTCTCACATAAATTTAACATCTGATTCATTTGCTATCAACTATTTATACTTAAAAAATATTACTTCATTTTAAACACAAAAAACATGAGGAAGATGTCAAAATTGAATGACACGACTCAAATAAAATAATCTATCCATTGCAAGATTCATAATCTAAAACAGGTGTAACTGCGCCAGGTGATCAAATTACATGTTGATTAAATTGGCTTCCTTATTGAATTTGATGCTGATTCTCTGGAAAACACAACACTTCAACACACAGAGATACATCAGATCTTAGCATCAGAGCAGGAAGTCATCTTTCTAGAGACAGGAAGACAGTAAAATAGGTGGAGATTTCAGCCACAGATAAATGTCCACCTTCTACGTGGTAGATAAATAGTGCTGCTCAAGGAGTGTTTTAGAGATAAACCCTGTAGGAGGCCATAATCACATTTCTTTTTTAAATCTCAGTCTCAGTTTCACAGATGAAGGACAGGCAGATGGTTATGTACGGAGTTTCTGGACAAGATGCTAGCAACCCTGTCGGGTTAGGAAGTGTGCTAATTTATTATCATTTAGCGCCATTCCCAAAACAGCACCCAGCTTATCCGGATCTCCTGCACAACGGGGTGAACAGAACCCAGCTCCCAAAATAGAAAGTCGTCACAATGGATAGTTGGGAATTGCAGTTTCAATATAAATAGCTAGTGACGTCATATCATCCACAGCGTAAATGGACTAACCCATTAGCTTCTCATGGTTTTGAACTGTTGAGGTCATCAGGCATTGGGATGGGATGTATGCCTTTGTGGAGGGGAAATTAGTAACTCGGAGGTGGAAGAGCAATTAATTAGAGCGCCCTCTTCTGTACTCTCATGGAACTACCATCAAAGCATGTTTAGCTCCCATTGCAATGACTTATTTTACCTTTTCTGTTCACTATTAAACTGCTAAGTTCCTCAGGAGCAAGAATGCGTTCTTCTTTTCCTCTGTGTCTCCGGAATTCACGACAGCAACTCTACACCCCTCTTTGGCACAAAGGTGCATGAATCAGTTGGGTGAAGTAGGGACCCAGGTTTTCCGTGTCCCAGCCACGGAGACCTTGAGCATGGACTCTGATGGTTCCTCCTAGATAAGGATGTCACTTCCTGGACCTAGTTTGGCACAACAACCTGGAGGATCTCAAACCTGAATAAATATTCCCATGAAGGCATACGGATGTTACTTCCGTGTCTGCTTGGTATGCAGCAAAAGACATTAGGAGTTATCCAGCATTCATGTACACACATAACCATCTTTCTTCTTCTAAAAAGAGGACCTGATTCTGTAGAGGTGCCCCGTCCTCTACCCACGCTGTGTGTCAGTGTGGTGGCCCATTTTCCCAGGCCAGTAAATAAGGCAGGCATGAGTCAGTGACCGTGGGCAGGAGGAGAAGTCTACCTGGGGAATTCTGGGGAAAGTCCCTCAATCCCCAAAACAAAAATAAGCCAGCCAGCTCCTTGTTGTGCCTACGGATCATTTTCAATTGGGGTATCATTCCTGGAACTGCAGCAGTCACACTGTAACCATGAAGGAAGCAAGACTAAGAACCAAGCCAACAGCAAGGAGGACAGAGGGGAGAACTGAAGAAGATCGGAGCAGAGTCTCATCCATTACACCGGACTCTTGTCCTCTGCATTCTGTGTCCTTATTTTTTTAAGCCAAAACTTGTGAATGTTTATGTATAAGGCTCTAAATCAGCGGTTCTCAACCTGTGGGTCGAGATCCCTTTGGGGTTCAAATGACCCTTTCACAGGGATCGCCTAAGACCATCAGAAAACAGAGATATTACATTACGGTTCATAACAGTAGCAATATTACAGTTATGAAGTAGCAACGAAAATAATGTTATGGTTGGGAGTCTCCACCACGTAAGGAGCTGTATTAAAGGGTGGCGGCCTTAGGAAGGTTGAGAACCACGGCTCTAGGTGAACATAAATACTCTTAGCTGTGGTTATCGTCAGGGAAAGGAGGGTTATGAGGAAGGTATTTTCCATTTATACTCCCGTAATTACCGTTACGAGAGCAAAACACTGAAATGTTCTGGGATTTACACTGGAATTTAAGTATATTTTTATACTGTATGCATGTAAGCACTAATTTTCTCTTTTTTTTTTTTCCATTAAGAAGAAGAGCCATTTTGTTTTTTGGGTTTTATTTTTTTTAATGTTTGTATTGATTTCATAGAGGGAGAGGGAGAGAGCAATAGAAACATCAATGATGAGAGTCATTGATCAGCTGCCTCCTGCACGCCCCACACTAAGGATCTAGCCTAAAACCTGGGCATGTGCCATGACCAGAATCCAAGCAACAACCTTTTGGTGTGTGGGATGAAGCTCAAACACTGATCCACACCTGCCAGGCGACACTAGTTACATTAATCAAAGACAGAATGACTGTGTTTGTGATTGATTGATTGATTGATTGGAGTCTGCCATGTCCCAGGCAGGCATACTGCTTCAGCACAAGTAAAAACCGTGAGTGTGGTGTCATTTTTCTTCACTAAATCGTAGCCCTCTAGTCTTTGGTCTGGTCTCTTTAGAGGCAGACATCCACTGTCCCAACAGTACTGAAAAGTGTAGTCACCGTTTTACATCCCCAACGTTTCATTCTGTATGTTAACGGAGATCGGTGTGAAGAGCAGCGACATATTTGAAACTGGATGAATAACACCGAGTGGTTAAGCAAACCTCACTCCTCCAGTGAGTCGTTCTCCCAGCACCTGAGACCTACTTTTAATAACCTACAGGACACAGTCTGTTTACATAAACCCCAAGCAAGGTTTGTCAAGCTTTCTACCCTCCACACTACCCAATTCACGGTCATGAAGAGAAAACAAATGGGAAAAAAATCAATATCAACTCAGCCAGGTGGCTACATCATTAGCTCTTTTAATTCTGATCCACGGCTTGTCTGCCCAAGAGCTTGAACAGCCTTTAAATATATTATTTGATTGATTTCAGAGAGGAAGGGAGAGGAGAAAGAGATAGAAACACTGGTGAGAGAGAAGCATCCATTGGCTGCCTCCTGCACACTCCCTACTGGGGACTGAGCTTGCAATCTGGGCATGTGCCCCGATTGGGCACAGTCAGTCTTTTAGATGTGATGCAGCCGAAACCAGTTTGGTTCAGTAGATAAGAGCGTCGGCCTGTGGACTGAAAGGTCCCAGGTTTGATTCCTGTCAAGGGCATGTACCTTGGTTGCGGGCACATCCCCAGTAGGGGGCGTGCAGGAGGCTGCCAATCAATGGTTCTCTTATCATTGATGCTTCTATCTCTCTCTCCCTCTCCCTTCTTCTCTTAATTAAAAAAAAAAAAAAAAAAAAAAGCACAGACGCTGGAACCCACAACCCAATTCTGCCCCATTCCACCACTTGCTGACTCCGGAGCTGACCAGATAATCCAGCTTTCAGGTCTAGAAGAGCTGAGCCTACCTCTCACTCCATAAGTATTCAAATGAAGTAAAACATAATTTACCAAGCAGGAGATGACAGCTTGCATGATGAAGGGTATGCTATAGATTCCCACAATTAATTCCATAGTGGCCAGGTTCTTTAAAATACTGCATGTATAAAAAAAAAAAAAATACTGCATGTATAAATACACAAATACATAAAGTAAATACTTGCCCCTTCTGACTTCTCCATCGTGTTGGCCAGCATCTCCTGGAGGGCCCGGACAGAGAGGGACTGCTCCAGCACAAAGGTGCAGATGGAGAGGTCTGGGGGGACATTCTGTGTGGAAAGAGGGAAAGCAACCATCATCATCACCATTTTAACCATTATCCCCATCACCACCTTCACCAACACTCCATTATCACCACCATCACCACTATCACCACCATCACTAACACCATCACCAACAGCCTCACCACCATTACCACCATTATCACTACCATCACCACTACCAATATCACCACCACCATCACCACTAACACCACACAACCATCATTACCATCATCACTACCACCATTTTCCCCATCACCAACACTACCATCACCACCATCATGATCTCTATACCATCATCACAATTATTACCATCACCATCATCATCAAACATCTAGACCCAATTTACTTTATGATACTTCAAGGTTTTTCATATAAAAAGAGTACTTATCAACTCTATGTGCTCCCAAATCATTCCATATATATTATCTATACTTAATCCATTTTTTATTTATATGTAGCAATAGCTACAATTTTAGTACCAATCTGACAGGCACTGCATTCAGAGCATTATCAATAACTCCTGAGGTCATCTTTGGTAAGGATTACCATCATTGCGCGGACAAGAAAACAGAAGTTAAATTGCTTTCCCAGAGTCACAATTACTGTATTTTTCAAGCTAGGGTTAAGAAGCCACATTTCTCTAACTCTCAAGTTTCATTTCTCACCTACAAAGCAAACAGCTGATAAAAAATAAATAAAAAAAATTAGGACTTCAAATGAATAATGAAGTTAAGCAAATATAAAATCAAATTGATATAAAATACTCATTTACATGGGTTTTTCCTTATCCACAAAGATAATTATTAGTTTGTTTTATTCAAGCTGGATATTATATTTGGCCTCTAACTTGGAATATTGTCATTTGCCTTCTGTTCTGTGTGGTGCTTTATTTTCTCATTCCTTTTTCCCCTTCTCGTTCCTTCCCTTAACTTCCACTCCAATTAATACCCCATATATGCTTAAAATCCCAAAAGGTAACTACCAACTTACTTTATGATGAAGGAAACAAGCAGGACGAGATAGTTCAAGAAAACTATCTCCATAGAGATCAAATACATTATTATGTGTATCTGCTTTTGCTGTAGAGAAGCAGAATCCAGTGAGCAACCAACCGGGTACGGGAAAATAGAATTTTCATAGGAGAAGGACATTATAAATCCATTAAACACAAATTCTAGCGAGACTGTGTCTTCATAAAAAGAGAATTAGGAAGATAAATGTGATAACTGATGCAATGCATCACAATGACAATTTATAAGGTTTATTAATGTAGTCGACGGAACCTGCAAGTCGAGTGATTTTTCTCAGCAGAGAATGATGCTTCATCGTTTCAAGGAAAGATTAAGTAAGAGGGTGCCAATACTAAAATCAACATTGTTTTATGGATGAAAGAAGCATATAATAGGGACACTAAGCTTCCTCATTACCCTCCCCCCAGCTTCCTGGAGCCCGAGTTTTCTGTTTTGAATGAACTGTCCTTCTCTGGACTCCTCTACCTCCCAGCATGGGCTTTTGCGCTCCTGTCCCAGCACCTAAGCAAGAAGCCTGCCTCACTGCTCACTGGCTGTTGGCATTTCTAACCTTTGGCTTCCATCCCTGAAAATGTGATCATGATTGTACCATTTTCATGTGGCTGTTGTGCAAACAAGGGAGATAACATAAGTAAAGAGCAATTAGAGTCCAGACCGTAATAAGAACTCAATGTGAGTGAGCCGTTCTCATTAGCTGGTTTTGCATGTTGCTGTTTCTCTCCATCTGTGGCATTTATGAAGTACTATCCCTTCTCCAAAGTGATTCTTAAATGGATTCTATTTTGGAGAAATGGTGTTTGTGACCACAAATCAACCATTATCCACCTGTTTAGAACATCCCAAATGTTCTGGTATTTTCTAGAAAAGGCACTTTCTGGAAATGTTTAAAAGTTTACATGCCACGTGTATTTGTCTAGTTTTGTGCCACACTTTGATCCAACTGTTCAAGTCTGTGCTCTATAATATATTTATTTTAAAGATCCCTGAAAACCACGGGGATCTGAAATAAATTACTCCTGCTAAGCTAACTGCATTTTGCCACAGAATGACATACATTACGCGTTTTTTCCCCAGCTCATGGGTGTGAGCGGGAATAAAGGGACATAGGATGCACAGAGGCACTTCTGTCTCTCAGAGGAACATTTTGTCTCAAAACCCATGTCTTCTGACCATCTTAGTCACTGTCTCTCTTCGCTGCCATAGCGTCCAGAACACACATAAATGTAAGAGAAAAGCTGAGGCAGTTAAGTAATACCTTTTAGTCCTTTCAGGAAAACTTGAAACAATACAAATCAGAAATCACAATATTGTGTTTGTTTTGCTCTGAAGAAAAATGGCCCATTTTTTAAAAATTTATTTTATTGTTTAAAGTATTTCAAAGTAAATGTGTCCTTTTTTCCCCCGTTGACCTTCTCCTGGTCCCCCCTAGCACCCCCTCCACCCCCTAATGCTTTTCCCTCCCTTCCTCCCCCCCAACCCTGCAGCCAGTGTCTTGCGTCCATTGATTATGCTTACATGCGTGCATACAAGTACTTCCGTTTATCTCTTACCTCTCCCCCTCCCCCCCTTTTTTTTTTCTTGATTTGAGAGAAACTGATTTGTCCTCCCACTTATTTGGGCCCTCATTGGTTGCTTCCCCAATATGCCCCAACCAGGATCAAAACCCAGAACCTTGGCAAACCAGATGACACTCCAACCAACCAAGCTACCTGGCCAGAGCAGTCTGGTTCTTTTAAGCAACAGAATCATTATCATAATGTGCTACCTTTTAAAGTAAACTACTAAAAGCATTTCTTAATTTAGATACCTATTCCTTCAAATGAAAAATAAATAAAACTTTAAAAAGGGAAGGAAAAAAAACTATAAATTCCTTACTGACTCAACTGTTTCTTTCATGCTGAGGACAGTTTATCATGTTGGAGTTGGAAAGAAGTAGGTTAGAATCCTGGCTCTGCTTCTCAATTGCTGTGTGACCTCAGGAGAATTACCTAAACTCTCTGAACTTCACCTTCTTCCTAATGATGCGAAGAGTGAGTGAAAGAATGCACCTGTGATACCCAGCAGAGTCTCTGATACATGTTGTTATTCTAAAGCTGTTAAGGTAGAAAACATTGGCTGGAGTCCAGTAGACAAAATATTATCTTGTGGAGGGAACATGGAGCAGAAAATAAACTGAATATGACTCACTGAGCATTGCTGTTTTCTTAGATATGAGTGACTAGAGTACTGAGGTTTAGACATGCATCTATCTCGTAGGGGTTAAAAAGATCTCTCCACTGATTAAATGGCGTGTTTGTATTGTAACGAGTTATCTCATTAAGGCAGAATGGTAGAGAAGAAATGATGCTCTAGAACTTGGCCCAAATTTTAGTCTTGATTTTACCATTTAAGGGCAAACTTTTAAGTTATGTAACTTCAATGCCCCAATTACCTCAAGAAGAGCTACGCAGAGGGATAGAATCATTTCTAACGTAGCTTCAAGTTCGTTTTTTCAAACAGCATACATCGTGACACGCTGCTTGTTCTAGCCATACGCTGTTAAGATCTGTTTCTGCCATTTTTAATACAACAAGAACAATTTAAATAATGAAAACAAAAACAAATTCAGGAAAGTTAAAGCATTGGGGGAAGGATGTTTATCGCACAAAAGGCTGAATAATGATTTTAAATGTCAATCATATAAAGTGTAACCAGGAAAACAATGTTGAATAATTATTCTCCATTTTCATAATTTAAAAATACTACTATTTAAATATCTTTAAATGTTTGGATGCACAAAATTTGCTGTTGTAAAAGGATTAAATAGTGCAATAATGTATAGCCTCTTCATACTCAAACATTTTAAAATAATGCTAGATTATGCCGAAACCGGTTTGGCTCAATGGACAGAGGTCGGCTTGGGGACTGAAAGGTCCCGGGTTCGATTCGGTCAAGGGCATGTACCTTGGTTGCGGGCATATCCCCAGTAGGGGGTGTGCAAGAGGCAGCTCATCGATGACTCTCTCTCATCGATGTTTCTAACTCTCTTATCTCTCTCCCTTCCTCTCTGTACAAAATCAATAAAATATATTTAAAAAAATAAAAAATAAAATAATGCTGGATTACTATCATTGTTAACTTATTTGACTAATCTAAAGAATTAAAAAAAAAAAGTCATGTCGTGTGTTTAACAGACACATGAATTACCTTTCGGGTTTTTTTCTTTAATCTCTTATGGGAATTTATTTAATGCAACCGCAATTTTAATATCACCAATAAAATTTAAACAGCTATATCTCAAATGAGAGCTGTATAGAGTGGACATATATTGATAGTCTGCACAATGTAACATTACATTAGAAAATGGAATCTCTTTAAGCTCATACTCCATATATTTAAATTTTGGGACAGGACTCCAGACTTAATTGGGCTGATTTTAGCATGGTAAACAGATGTTAAGATAATTACTAAAATGCCATGTAATAAATACCTTACGTTTCTCTTCTCCATTTCATTGTGAGCCATTAGTTTCCTTGACTACATTCACACTGTCCTGCTTATTGGTGCAGTATCAGTAAAAAGTTGGTAAGCGACATTTTTCCATTTATTGATAACATTTTCTCTAGATTATGGCCGAAGTTTTCAGAATGAACCCAAACCAACATCTCCTGGGCCCTCAGTTTTGTTGAAAAAACATCATATATTCTGATGTATGTATGCAAAGAAATGCATGTTTTCAATAAAACAGACACCCATGAATCCATCAAGCAGGTAAAAAGTTACAACATTATGAGTTCCTCCACCCAGCAACAGTCTGCTTTTCTTTACACGTTTGTCATAAATTTATGTAAATCCACATTATTACTTAAATTTGCTGGGTTTTGCCCATTATACAATTATAAAGTCTGAAATTTCTTTTTGGTGGTGCAATATGTTTTTATGTTGATCCATGTTGATCTGAAAACCTGTATTTCATTCATTTACTGCTATAGAGTA